CGCGGCCCCCGTGGTCGCCACGACGGGCGATTGGTGGGGAGGCCGCGCGGGCCCCCAAGGTCGCCACGACGGGCGACGGGAGGGGAGGCCGCGCGGGTCCCCGAGAGCGCCTCGACGGGCGCTTCGACGGGAGGGGACCGCGGAGGCCCCCCCAAGGGCACCACGACGGGCGCCACGGAAGGGAAAACCGCCAGGCGCCCCGAGCGCGCGGCGGGCAGAAATTAGGGTTTCGCCGCCGCGCACCACGGGGCGCGCGGCGGACAGTACGGCAGCGGAAGCGGGTGGTGGGCCCATACACAGGAAGGCGGCAGACATGCCGCCCTTTGATACCATGTCAGAAGTAGTAGGAGTACGGCCTAGGCTTAGTAGCCTAGGCCACAGTAGGACTAGTAACGAGGAGCCAAGTACGAGCTAGGAATGTGTGTACGAACAGAATTGAGAAGGAATGATTGAACTAGCAAGCAGCAGGATACAAATAGCAAACCCTAAGGGGCTGTACTCACTATAGAGTACCCCACTGCAGGCTACACAAACAACATATTCTGACACACCCCGGTAGGCTTGCACTTCAAAATATAAGGCATACGCTTGGAAGTTTCTTAAATATACTACATACTTTATTGACGCACAATATATGATATTGCTAATGTTTGTTGCTGAGTCTTAGTCCAGTCGAAGACATGTACCATATTTACCTTCGTAATAGATTCAAGGAAAGAAGGGATAGGGGGGAGTAGATGGTTTTTTTTTTCCTTTTTTTTTCTCTCGAATTTATGTCAAATACTATTGTTACAACATAAGAGCCACCATTTTGAATTTCACAAAAGGGTGTTTTTTTTTTATCTTGCGCAGAATCAAGGTAAATACATGGTCAACTTGTGGCGGTGGGGAGTCAGTGTAAAGTGTATATGGACAAACAAGCTTAATAACGCATGCCTCATATCTTTTGCACTACTCAATTAATATCTAATAATCTCCACCGCAAGAGCACGTTTTTGGTCCAGTGATTGGGAGACTTATGCAACGAGGCGATGGTGATAAATTTTATAACCATGAAACATGAATTTTATAATACAGGGTGTAGGTTATTTTGGGAAACCGATCCTGGTATTCATCTAAATATTGATGGTATATATAATATCATGATTAAATTTCTGTGCACAATTTTTCAAAACTTCTCAAGTTTGATTACCCGCTATACTTGTAATTGTTGATCGCATTACTGACAATCTTCTTGGGTTCCTAGAAACAATGGTTAAATATAGTTATCTTTCCGGGTCCGGGTAAATGGCTTTTGGCGAAGTAGCAGGTGTACAGATTTGAAAATGCACTGTGGAATTGTTTGTCAAAATTTCCTCAGTGCATTTATTATGCGTGAAATTTTTCCTCCAGCCAATCTTCTAGAAGGACAAGCTTCATGATCAGAAATAGAGTGCTGTATCTAGGAGTGCTGACCTCAACGCCGCCTTGTTGACGTTCTTGGTCGGCCAGTTCACCAAATGGCTTTGCCAGCTTTTGCCAGCTGTCGCTCTGGTGTCTGTACGGTCTGATTACCAGAGTAGCGATGATAGCCAAATTCATCCATTGCATCATTTGTCGGACTTCCGAGCTGGATATGTTCCTCGCTAATTTCCTTTTCTGAACTTTTGCTTCTCTATTTTTATATCTAGTACACTCGATCCAGTACACTTGTGAACTTGACGACCCTTAGGGCGCGTGTGATCTTTGGATTTTTGTCTAAGTTCGAACTCAAACCGCTTTGAACCGTGGCGAAAAATCTTTTAGTTGTATCCTACCGTGTAGAACCTTTCTAAAAGTTCGAACCTTGGGAGTTCAAAAAAATATCACACGCGCCCTAACCCTCCCGTCCGGTGTGCTTCTCGGCTAAGCCAACGGCATCAAGCTTGGATTCAGGGAGGCCGTCGATCATACACAACAACCGCTTTCATCCGTTGTTTCCTGTCAGTGTTTCAAGAAAGTACCAAAATCTCTCTACTGATCACTTTTAGTCTAAACGTTTTCCAGGCGAAGATGGCGAAGCAGGCTGAACGCATTGTATGCTTCAGTCCGTTTGAAAAAAAAAAAAACCTGGGGTCTTCTTGGTCAATGGACGGCATCAGTGCGTAGTGTAGTAGGTAGGGTAAAAAGCTTGTTCTATAATGGACTATTCTGGAGCTAGTGCGAGTTTGCTGTTGCGACAGCTGTGTCGTCCCGCTTGGATGTAGACCTAGCCACCCACCCAACCCCCTCCCTCCCCCTCCCACCCACTGCCACACAGCTTTCTTTCACCTGTACCAGCCAAGTCCTGCCTGACTGGCACTCCGAAAGCCTGACCAGCCGCGTGAGTTTTCACTCGTGTTTAGTTAGGTCACAGAGAGTTAGGTTAGTTTTTCCGCACTTGGATGCTTTGCAGGGCGATGTTTGTACGTACCACCGTGTCACGACCTGACATACATAACCTTACCCATTAATTTCATGTGGGAGCGTCTTTTCAGCCCTTCCGGATCCGAGTCCAGGACGCTTGCTATATTGTTCTCAATTTTCGGCCAGATCAGTAAACATGCTGTACATTTGGCTAAACTTAAAACTTGGGAATCGGCCAGGTCATATTAGTTACTGGAAATTCGGTGAAGGCACTGTAACACACTGGAAATTTTACGAGGTCACTGAAACAGCACATTCAAGTCGCTGAAGTACTGTCATTGAACACATTGAAAGTCCTGGGATACGCTGGAAATGAACAACCCACCCACGATTATGCAAGCCATGGTCCGGTGTCTTTCGAGTTGTTTCGAGGAGGAGCACAGACAAACAAAAAACTTGGCAAAGAGGTCCACAGAATCCGGAAAGCCTGAGTGGATCCAGGTGTGGGTGACAGTGAGTCGATCCCCCCATCGCCACAGAATAGGGCAAGCTCACTCTGTTTGGACCGCCACGTAATAGGGCACGGCCACACGGCTCCGTCGCAGTTTCGACATTCTACAGTGCGATCCACGCGTGCAGTACCGCCAGCTTGCACAGCCAAAAATGACAGAATTCACCACCACCGCACAGAGTACCCCACCGTCACCCGCGATCCACCAACCCTCTGTCCCTCGTTCGCAAGCTGGCAAGCCATATCGCTCCAAGGTCAGCCCGCATCACTGGTTCTCCAAGCCGCGTTGCCGAGGCACGCAGGTGTCCGATTTGTGATTTTGGCTGGTTTGTGTGCCAAACCTCGAGTCTAGGCTGGGATGTATGGTGTTTGATTTGCGAGTGATTTGGTGGGGAGCATAAAATACACCGCCATTGGCAATGGATTGTCATTGTTCATTCCACAGATGCAGTTTGCAGTGCAACACTACCGCAGTGAGCGATCGTGATTTTACAAGCGAGGCAGGCAGGAGGGAGGCAGCCAGAACAAATGAGACCCCCACAGCGCTAGAGAACGATTTGAGCCACTGGCGAGAGGAGCGAGCAGGAACACATGCCGTATGTGGCCGCGGGCTGGACAGCAAAACTATGATTCAGTTTTGATAGTGTCGCTTGCCGCATTCTCACCAACCCACAGACATCACTCTCACCCACCGCGTTTTTACTCTCAGTGCATCGAAACGCTGCGTTTCAGTTAGCTGGTTAGTGCGAGGTTTTTTTCCAATTTTGTGCATATCAACGACATTTGGTTGTTGGAAGGAAAACGAGCTGACGCGCACGATACACTCTGAGACGAGTAGAGATTTGAGGCAATATTAACGACAAATCTGGTATAACAGCGGACGTGGCGCGCCAAACGATAACCTATAGTCACAGCATAGTGTTGGAGATAGTATCGTTGAAATCGCGACGATGGCGGAAGCTGAGCAACAACAGCGTCAGCAACATCAACAACAAGAAGATCATAAGGAAGAGAGCGGCGAAAAGGACTCGGACGTCGTGAAGGGGCCATGGAGTCCCGAGGAGGACGAGCTGCTTATGGAGATTATCGCCAAATACGGGCCGCGCAATTGGTCGCTCATCGCTCAGGGGCTCAAAGGGCGGTCCGGAAAGAGTTGTCGACTGCGGTGGTGCAATCAACTGAATCCCGAAGTACGTATCGCGCTTCGTCGGCGTCGCTTATTTCCTCGTCTCTTCTTCGTTGTCGTACCCTTATACAGATTGCGGCTTGAATCATCAACGATCCCATCGCATCCCGTTATCGACCTATCCTCCGCCGCGTTACCGAGATCCTCGCGACCCCACTTACTGATGTCTAACGTGAACCCCTTGCTCGGTGATTTCGTGTTTCAGGTCAATAAAAACCCGTTCACGGACGAAGAAGACAGAATAATCGCCTTGGGACACGCGGAGCACGGCAACAAATGGTCGGTCATCGCGAAGAGTCTCCGCGGTCGCACGGACAACGCAATTAAGAACCACTGGAACTCCACGCTGAAGCGGAAATACCCCGCCATTCTCGCGGAAATCATCAAAAATAGGGTAAGCTTTTCCCCCTCATTAGGGTTTCCATTTCCGAGAAAATCGCAGAGTATGCTGTGTGTTCAAGTGTATTGCTCTTCGTTGAAACTCTCCTCGTCCGATTGGTTGGCGAGTTTGGTTCGTGTTGGAGAAATGATTTACGATAGGATTGTTGTTCGCCTCAAACCTGGTTACCCTGCTTCAAATGTTTTTTTTTTCACCCGGAATCTACCATTGTCAACACTCACTGTCTCATCCTCCCACTTTCTCCCCGCCATTTCCCCCTGCGTCCTGTCGTCCCGCCATGGTTGCCCCGTTCCTTCTGCCAGACCGCGCGCGTGATCGATTCGCCGCGCGACGCCCCAGCCAGCTCCCCCGGAAGCGACGGCCGTGTTTCCCCTTCCCCCTACTTCTCCGGTGTCCCGCTCTACGCTCCAATGTACGCTCCCGGAGGCGGCGGTGGCGCGGGCGGCGGCGCGAACTTTTTCTCGCACCGTGAGAGCCCGTCTCCGCTTTCGTCGGGTAGCGCGGGCTGCGGAAGCGCGGCGCACTCACGGCGGAGCAGCATGGACGGCTGCTCCGCAAGCTCCGCCAAAGCGGAAAACGTGCGCATGCTTGCGGACGTCCTCCGCCGCCTCGCCACCGCATCCAGCGGCGGCGCCGCCGGCTCCGCGTGCCCGTCTCCTCCGCCAGGCGGCGCGGCGGGCGTCGCTCCTCCTTCCGCCTCCGCCGTTTCAGCTGCGCGCCTAGCGTTTCCGCGCAGCGGAAGTCTCGACTCTCCCGTTCTCCGCCAATCTCTGCGCGACCCCACTCCACTCGTTCCTTCCGCCATGGGGGCATGCGGGGGAACGTTCGGCGGCGGATGGGGCGGTGGAGCGCCGGCGGTGGGGGAATATGACCTGGAGTATCTTCAAGCCGCGAAGCGGCTGCGCTTTGGTGGGGGGGACATAGCATGCGCGGAGCTTGGCGGAGCGTCTGGCGGACTGTCTGGCGGAAGCGGCGGGTTGAGGGGAAGCGCAGGGTTGGGCGGAGGTGGATACGGCAGCGGCGCCGCCAACCTGGGGAACTTTGGGGGGTCCCTTCTCGGAAACTCCCTCCTGGGGCGCACGGCAAGCGGAGGAGCTGGGGCACTCGGGGGAAGCTCTTTCGGGGGAGGCGGTTATTGCGGGAGCGGCGAAAACTACCTTTCCGCGGGCGCTTTCTCCCCCCTTGGCGGAGGTACGGCGGGGAATTCGGGTTACCGCGGTTCCCCCTCCCCCCATGGCGTCATGCGCTTCCCCTCCAGTGTGCGGAGCTCCATGGACGGAGGCGATTCCCCCTCCTCCCTCGCTGCTGCTATGGCTGCCGCTGCTGCAGCGGGATTCGCTCCGCCCTTTGGTGGGGGAAGTTTCGCTGGGGGGAACTCGAATCCGCCCTTTTCCCCTGCGGGGAACGCTCAGCCTTTCCCCTCACCACACTCCGCCTCCCCCCTCATGCCGCGTTTCCTGACAGGCGATTCTACTGCCCTAGCAGGCGCTCCGGCCTCCGCCTCTGCTGCTTCTGCCTCTGCTGTTGCTGCCTCTGCTGCTACCACTGCCGCCGCTGCCACTGCCGCTGCTGCTGCTGCAAGAAACTTTCCGGGGCTTGGTAGTTTCGCTGGGTTGAATAGCACGGGCCTGGGTACGAGCAGCAGTGCGCTCGGTGTGTTCCCGTCCAATCTCCAGTCACCTTCCGCGGCCTCCTCCTCTCCTCTCCTCCGGGAAACCCTAAAAGAGAGCATACGGGAAAGCCTCCTCTCCAATTCTCACCAGCAGAACAAGCCGTTAAATGGGACAGGGCCAGCAACAGGAGGAGGAGCTGGAGCAGGAACGGTGGGAGTCGATGGGATGGTGACGCGAGCCGATCGGACGGCCCAGGGCATGTCCCTGCTGGGGCAGCGAAATCTGACCATTGATCTCTCGGTGCTTGACAATCTTGCGGCTCACATGCACCCCTTTCAGCCGCTACAGTCGGCGGAGCCTATGTCCAATCCCGCTGCTGCAGCCACTGCCGCCGCTACAGCCGCTACAACCACTGTTGGTGATTCCTTGATGTTAGGGGAGCTCGGAGGGGAGATTGATCAGGAGATGTTGGATCCGGCTGTGCGCCATGCCTCGGTTGAAGCCCTGGCTCAGATTCTTGCAGGGGATATTCAGGCGGTGCCCAATGCTGGTTTCGCTTCAGGTTACAACAGGAATTTCAATGCAGGTTTCAGTGGAGCAGATGCGTTGATGCCTGCAACTGGTGGTGCAGAGGAAGCTGCTAAGGGCTCTGATTTGGAATGCTTGCTGAATGGTCAGTTTCAGCAGCCGCTGCTTCAGCTGCAGCAGCTACAGCAGTTGCGGCAGCTGCAGTTGTTGCAGCAGCAGCAGCAGCAAGACCAGGAGCAGATGCAGCAGGAGGGTTTAGCTGAGGAGGAAGGTTCTGGATCGCTTCTGAGTTTCCTTGCTTCTGATTGGCCGCAGCTGAAGGAGGCTGTGGCAGCAGGAGCTCGAGCATTGAATGCTGCAGATATGCCCAGCTCCAGCAAATAATTATTTTATTCATTTTTTGTTACGAAATGGAGCTTGTCTCCATGATCAAAATGGTTATATTAATTGTTAAGGTGGAGCTAGTTGCTCATTATGCTATAATGCCATCAATTGAAGTTACTGCATCATTGTTGATAATTATAACAAAACAAGCCTTCCACCCACGGTTCAATGATGCTTGCTCCCAAGAAACAGATTTGGGGCCAACAACCAAAACAAAAAAGGCTACTGCTACCCTCCCCCAAAATCCTCTGTATGCTCCTGCTCTCCCCCCTTGCTCCGCCCCACTTCCAGCTCCTGTTGCTTCCCCTCTGCGCCCCCCCTCCGCTCCCCCCCCTGGCAGCAGCCACCTTCCCCGCTCACCACTTTCGCCTCACGTCTTCCCTCTTCTCCCCCCCCCCCCCCCCTGCTCATGGTGCTCCCGGAAACATCAACGGCTGTTGAGACCCCACTCTCGTTACGGCTGCTCCTCCTGTTCCTGTTTCTCCTGCTCCTGCTTCCCCCCCTGATCCGCCCCATCCCCAGCTCCCGTTGCACCCCCAGTGCACCCTAAACCCTAAACTCTGGCAGCAGCCGCCTTTCCAAAACTCCACCCCACGTTACCCCCTCATGCTGCTGCTCCTGCTCCTGCTTCCCCTCCCCCAACAGCACCTGCTGCTCCCCCACTTCCCCCACCTCCACTCTCCCCCCTGGCGACAGCCATCTTTCGGCCAATCAGAGCGCGTCTCGTCGCCAGCAAGGCATCCAGCTCCTCCTGTAGATTCCCAGCATCTGGCTCTGATACCCCGTCTGAACCACCTGAGTTTCCACCTGAACCTTGGCGCTTCTGCAGGGCAGATATAGCCTCCATTCGGGTCCCAATAACCGCCTCAGTTTCAGAAACTTCATCTCCCTTGCGCCTGCTTCCCCCGTCATCATCAGTAGCACTGGGAGCAGCAGCGGCAGGAGCAGCAGCATCACCACTAGCAGCGGCAGGAGCAGCAGCATCACCACTAGCAGCGGCAGTATCAACAGTCATGTCACAAGCCAAGTCCTGCAGCAGACGCAGCACAGCCAGCCTCACATCCCCATCCTGGGACCCTACAATCCCCGGCTGTAGCAGCGAGGTGAGAAGCCCTGAGGAGAGAGCCAGGGGGCGGTCAGAGGGGCACTGCTGCAGGAAGTAGAGCGTGAGATGCAGGGCTTTAAGTAGGAGCTTGGTGATGGCGCCACTGGTGCTGTCGGTGGTGGTGCTGGTGGTGGTGTTGGTGGTGGGTTGGGCCGCGGAGGTGATTAGGGAGGTGAGTCCTTTAATGCCGACGATGGCTTGAAGGGACTCCAGGCCTTCTGGGTTATGGCGCACCAAGGCTGGTGCGGGAGGGGAGGAGGGTGGTGGGGAAGGGAATGAGAAGAGGAGAAAGATGGGAGACTGAGTGGGGGAAATGAGGGAGGTGAGTCCTTTGATGCCGACGACGGCTCGAAGGGACGCCAGGCCTTCTGGATTATGGAGCACCAATGCTGGTGGGGGAGCGGGGAGAGGAGAGGAGAAAGATGGGAGAGTGAGTGAGTGGGGGAAATGAGGGAGGTGAGTCCGTTAATGCCAACGACGGCTCGAAGGGACGGCAGGCCTTCTGGGTTATGGCGCACCAAGGCTGGTGTGGGAGGGGAGGAGAAAAGGGGTGGAGAAGAGGGGGAGGGGGAGTGAGTGGACGGGGAAACAGGGGGGGCGTTGGGGGAAACCGGGATACATGGGGAGATTGGGGGTTCTGAAAGGAAATGGGGGCGAAACAAAGGGAAGCGGGCTCAAACAATTTGCTCAACCACACTCTCCTCCCCCCACCCCTCTCACCCCCAATACCCTCCAACCCCCTCCCCCCCCCCCAAAACACACACATCTACTCACATGAAATTGCCCCCACGGCCTTGGTTCTGGCAGTGACGTCAGCATCGTTCAGGATCATATCCATGAGGGTCAGATGGCCGCCCGCTTCTATCACGCTGCGCTGGCTCTTTTCGTTGTTTTGCACCATGGTGGTTACCACCTCCGCCGCCCGTGCACGGAGGATCGCATGAGGGGAGCGGAGGAAGCGCAGCAGCGGCTCCAGGCCTCCTATGGCCTTCAGGTCTGGCGGGAGGGAGGGAAGGAGGGAGAAAGACACTCAAGAGGTCTGCTGCCCGCGCTCGGAAGATTGCATGATGGGACTTGAGGAATTGCAGCAGCATCTCCGAACCACCTAGGGCCTTCAAGTCTGGTGGGAGGGAAGGGGAGAGGAAGACGCTCAGAGGTCTGCTGCCTGCGCTCGGAGGATTGCGTGGTGGGACTTGAGGAAGCGCAGCAGCAGCTCCAAGCCTCTTATGGCCTTCAGGTCTGGCGGGAAGTGACGGGCAGAGAATCCACAAGAAGAAAGACGGTTACGAGACGGTTACCACATCAGGCCCTAGCAAGTGGATTAAGCACAGCAGCGGCTCCAAGCCTCATATGGCCTTGAGGTCTGGAGGGAGGGGAAGGGGAGAGGAAGACAGGCGAGGAACATATACATATTTCTATTTGTGAAGGTCATTTGGCCTCTCAAAGCACGAGGTTCAGATGCCCCCCCCCCTCCATTACAACAACACTCGCATCACACAATACCATTGACCCCCCATTCCCTTGAACCTAGTAAATGCACACTAACCATTGGCCATATCGATGGACTCAACGTGCTCCTGCACCTCCTGCAGCATGCCTGCCATCCCGTCCACCGTCACGCCCTGAGCCTAGTTTTGAGGCGCCTCAAAACTGAGCCGCCACCCACTCCTCACCTTCAAAGCCAATACAATACAGTCCACAGGCACTCACCATTGGCCATGTCCATAGACTCTTCATGCTCCTGGAGTTCTTCCAGCATGCCTGCCATTTCGTCAACAGTCACGCCCTGAGCCAGCAGCCTTTCTTCACCCTAGTGACAAGACAACATCTCTCCTCTCCTCTCACTGAAATCACACCCAAGCCCTCACCGTTGGCCATGTCAATCGACTCTACGTGCTCCTGGAGTTCTTCCAGCATGCCTGCCATTTCGTCAACAGTCGACGCCCTGAGACAGCAGCCCCTCCTCAGAGGCCACAGCAGCCGTCACATCACACATTTACCGTTGAACCCCACCCCTCACAGAACATTATCCATTCACACTCCCTCACCGTTGGCCATGTCAATCGACTCCACGTGCTCCTGGAGTTCTTCCAGCATGCCCGCCATCTCCTCCACCGTCACGCCCTGCGCCAGGAGTCCCTCTTCAGTGACGGCCATGACCATGCTGATCTCCTTCATCCGCTGCACTATGTCCACCACCGCCGCCTGCATGGCCTGGTTGAACCACTGCCGCTCCTCGTCCCTGCAGCAAAAGGCAATAGGTAGGAAAGAGACGAGCCAGTGAGTCACCCCCCCTCCTCAGTGACTGCCATCACCATGCTCATCTCCTTCATTCGTTGCACTATGTCCACCACCGCCGCCTGCATGGCCTGGTTGAACCACTGCCGCTCCTCGTCGCTAGTTAAGGTGGGAAGGGAATGGAAAGGAAAAGACGGACACGGGAAACGAGAAGGAAGGGAGCATGAAAGGCCCTCCTCAGTGACCCACATCACCATGCTGATCTCCTTCATCCTCTGCACCACATCCAACACTGCTGCCTGCATGGCCTGGTTGAACCACTGCCGCTCCTCGTCACTGGAGGGTGGGAGTGAGAGGAAGGCGGGTGGGAGAAGGGAATGGGAAAAAGGAATGAAGGACCGATAAAGTAAACGAGAAGGAGAGTCTAAAATACCCCCATGACCCGCACGACCCGCACGACCCGCACGACCCGCACGACCCCCCAGGACCCCCATGACCCCCATGACCCCCATGACCCCCCATGACCCCCATGACCCCCATGACCCCCCATGACCCCCATGACCCCCCATGACCCCCCATGACCCCCCATGACCCCCCATGACCCCCCATGACCCCCCATGACCATGCGGACTCCTTCATCCTCACTTGATTCAAGTGGTTCCAACTTGAACCGCACTCACGTGATCTGCCGGGCGGGACCCGTGCCATCGGAATGGGCGAGGCTCCACTTGAGAATGCCCTCGAGATTGCCGCCCGGGCCCAGATTAGTAGGCATGCTGCCCGAATGCTGCCCGAGCACTGCTCGAATGCTGCCCGAATGCTACCCGAATGCTGCCCGATTGCTGCCCGATTGCTGCCTGAATGCTTCCCGTGCGCTGCCCGTATGCTGCCTGATGCCCGATCGATAACGACGCTCTCGGACCCGCGAGGATGCGCGCAGCTTCTAACGCGTCGTTCCGAGACGTCTCGAAACGCGATTCGAGAGCGTCGGGCGTAGGAAGGCTCGATTGCAGACAGCGAGGCCGCGAACGCGGAGAGGAAGCGCGCGTGATGGCGGGAACCGGCAGGAGCACGAGCGCGAGCGCGAGACGCTAATCGGTGCTTTAAGAAACACGGGATTGGCCAAGTGAGTGGAAGATGGTAAAAGAGGAGAAGATATCAAGATACGACTGCTCTGGTGGATACCCGACAGCAGCACTCGAAAAAGGTAGGATCCAGCTTTTGGAGACGCGTGAAATGAGGCATGAAGAGGCGGAATCTGAGAAACTTATGGGAGTGGGAGTTACACTAGCGTTGTGGAGAATATTCTCGATAGTAGCGCGGAGAATCTTCTCGATAGTAGTGGGCGAACATTCTCGAGAATCCACGTCACCCGAAAAGAGAAGTTTCTGAGGTGTGTACTCGATACGCATTCGAGTGCACTGTACTGCGGGGTACTGCAAATATTGTACATAAACTATTTTATAACTAAAAACTCGGTTTCAAGCGTTCATGCCGGAGTGGTTAACGGGACAGACTCGAAATCTGTTGGGCTCTGCCCGCGCAGGTTCGAATCCTGCTGAACGCGATTTTACCTTGCTGGAGGAGTGCATGTACGATAAGGTTGCACTTAACTTTTTGTGGTGAGCAAATGTGGGATCCAATCCCCATTATCAATCTGTCACAGCACTCTAGCCATGCTTGTCATCTCTGAAACATTTCGAACAAGCTAGAACCCCACCAAATAACAACCCTAAACCCCAAACTTCCCCTACCTTTACCACTCCTTAGCACTGGTAGGTTTGTGGCACGGGAGTGATGAGGACAAATTCCAGAGAACGATTCGGAATGTGCGACATTGTACACAATGTGGAGCATATTACCGTCGTAAGAGTTACACATAAATAGAACGATATGATGTCCACAGGAGATTGAGATGCATATTTTCCTCAAGGAAGTTGGCACACGGCCGTGCTTTCAAGCCATCCACATCTCTCTCTCTCTCTCTCTCTCAAGCAATCCTTCATTGATATAGTAAAGGTACAGCCAAGGCAAGAGCTCGTACTAGCATAGCTAGGCATGCAAGCAAAACCTAGGGGCAAGACATTTCAGCATATGGCCCAAGAATGAGGCACGCATGCAAACAAACCTGGTATCCTCTAGGCAAGCAAGGCAACATCCCAGAGCTGGTAGAGGCCACGCAAAATGGCCAGGGAACCCCGGTCACGCTGCCTCTCCTGTACGAGTTCCCCTCCTCCTGTGTTTAACCCCAAACCCTATCATCCAGAACCTGCCAGATGTCACCCAGCCGGGGCTCCCACGGGTCTCCTGGTGTCTGTGGGAAGGCTGCTTTCGCCGCCTGGTTGGACTTGGTGAGCAGGGCTGTCGCTTGGCACCTTTGCAGCATCACCGACCAGCACTGGCAGTAGTCGGCAATGAGCAGTGCCGCCGCCGTAGTCTGTGGCCCATGGCAGAACCCCTTCTTGGCTGCGTGGGTGGCAAATTGCGATGGAACTTCTGTGTGTCAGCCGCCAGCGCCCCATAAGTCTCCACTGCTAGCCCTAGGAACCCCACATATGATGGTCTCTCCTCATACAACTTGTGCTTGCCTATGCTTGCCTCTTCTGCCTCCCACCCCGATTGCCTCCAACCCAGTAGGTCTCGTCGCTGTAACACTGGGTCCGTTACTGTGACGTATGTTACCCAGGTTTCACCTAACTCAGGGTCCCGTATGGCGAGGTCCACTCGCTTCCGATCAACTGGCAGCGAGTAGACCACTGTCTCGTGCAGCGTCATGTATTTTACCTTCTTGGCCATGCGTAGACATGCATAGACCAAGGCATTGTGCGTTCTTTTCTGGTCTCCCCCTTTGCCACAGCGCAGTAGGTGGTTGGGTAGGCTTTTGTCTGTGATGGCAGACCGGTCTCGGTGGCACGGGCATTGTTCAGTGACAAGTAAGGTGAGGCCTAGGCGCAGTCCCAAGGCCATTGAGAGCTACCCTGGGGCTAGAGTGAGGTCAACCCGGGTTGGGATTGCATGCAACCAGTCCCCTGCTCCCGTGCCTTGCAGGCTCAGTAGACATAGTGGGTGCCCGTCGTCCATCCCATGTTTGTCGATCCTAGTATCTACTACCAGCTCGGCCGCCCTTGCCTTGTTGATGTGGTTGGATAGCTGTAGGTGCAGGTGCTACGGATTGTTCATCTGGGTGCGGAAGTCGCCCAGCACCAGCCTCGCCTCCTATGGCAGGCCTGCTTCCAGGTCCGCCAGTGGTAACGTTGCTGAACCCTTCGAGATGTGGCATGGGGAGAGTAATGTAGCCACTCTGGCGATGGAGTGGTCCCTGGGTCCTTGCAGCTATTGCAGTAGATGCTGCGCTGCCCCCACCGATGAAATGTAAGCTGCTGGTGCTTCCGAGAGGGGGTTGTCAAACATTAATCACATAGCCTGTTTAGGCTGTAGTGGGGTAGATACTATGGGGTACAGTTTGTTAGGGTTTCCTATTTGTACCCAACTCATTTCCTAGTCATTCATTCCTCAATTCTTCACATGGTATAGCGCTAGTTCGATTTTTTTTTCCTAAGGGCCCACCACTTTTTTTTTTTTTTTTTCCTACCTGCCCGACGCGCGCGTCGCGCCTGCCCTTCGAGGCCCCTTCGCGGCCCGTAGTGGCCCCCCTTTCACGGCCCGTAGAGGCCCCTTTGCGGCCCGTAGCGGCCCCGTAACGGCCCGTAGCGGCCCCTGCGCCTGCCCTTAGAACCAGCGCCGGCGCCCCAAGCCGCCGCGTCGCGGCCCGGCCCGGCGCCCCGTCGCCCCGTAGCCTGGTGCCCCGTCGTCCCGGCCCGGCCCTCCACGGCCCCCGTCGCGGCCCCCCCCTCGTCGCCCCCCCCCCCCCCCCCCGGTCGCGGCCCCCCGTTGCGGCCCCCTGTCGCGGCCCCCCGTCGCGGGCCCCTCGTCTCGGCCCCGCCCCGTCGCCCGGCGCCGCCCCTGTCCCGGACCTGTCGCGGCCCTGCCCCGACCCTGTCGCGGCCCTGTCGCGGCCCTGCTGCGACCCAGCCCCGGCCCTCCTCCGGCCCTGTCGCGGCCCTGTTCCGGCCCTGCCCCGGCCCTCTCCCGGCCCTGTCGCATCCCTCCCCTGACCTGTCGCGGCCCTGCGCCGGCCCTGTTGCGGCCCTGTCGCAGCTCTGCCCCGGCCCTGCCCCGGCCCTGTTGCAGCCCTGCCCCGGCCCTCGCCCCGGCCCTGTCCCGGCCCTGTCCCGGCCCTACCCCGGCCCTGCCCCGACTCTGCCCCGGCCCTGCTCCTGCACTGCCGCGGCCCGGCCCCGACCCTGCCCCGGACCTGTCGCGGCCCGGCCCCGGCCCTGCCCCGGACTTGTCGCAACCCTGCCCCGACCCTCCCCCGGCCCTGCCCCGGCCTAGCCCCTGGTAAGAGCATCGCCGGGCCGAGTCGCGCTGCCGAGCCGCACCGCTCTGCCGAACCGCCCTGCCGAGCCGCCCTGCCGAGCCGCGCTGCCCTGCCTAGCCGCGTCGCTTAGCCGAGTTGCACTGCTGCTGCTGCTAGCCTGCTGCTGCTCCTGTCATGGCTAGTCCTAGTGTTCTTACCTTTGATGCTGAGGGTCGAGCGGTTGACTTCGATGTCTGGCTAGATGATCTGCAGCTTTTCCTACAGTGCGATAGCAAGGATGGTCTCTCACTGTTCGATCTCACGTCTGGCGCCTCTACTGCCCCTGCTGCTGATGCTGACAGTACTGTTCGCTCGCAGTGGCTCACGCGCGATGCTGCTGCCCGCCTTGCTGTGCGTAGTCACCTACCGTCTACTGAGCGCGCGCACTTTAGTCAGTACAAGAGTGCTAAGACTCTGTACGACGCTGTCGTTGCACGCTACTCTTCCCCTGCCACTGCTGCGCTTAGCCGCCTCATGCTACCGTACCTGTTCCCTGACCTCGCCGCTTTTGCCACAGTCACTGACCTCATTACGCACCTCCGCACTAGTGACACTCGCTACCGCGCTGCACTTCCTGCTGAGTTATGCGCAAAGAACCCCCCCCCCCCCCATGTACATCACCCTCTACTACCTAGTCACCCGACTCCCTGACACTCTTCGCTCGATCAGGGACCACTTCCTCTCTCTTTGCCCTACCACCCTCACCGTTGACCTCCTCGAGGAGCGCCTCCTTGCAGCAGAGACTAGTATTACCGCTGTAGGAGCCTCTCGTGGTGACCCCCGTACCCCTTTCTTTGAGGGGTGCTCCCCCGTTCCTCTTTTGCCCTCCGTTGCCTCTGCTGCTGCTGTCGACCTTGTTGGCACCGAGTCGGTCAGCGCTGCGTCTGCTCCTAGTGAGAGGCGCCGCAACAGCAAGGGCAAGCGGGGCAAGGGCGCTGGAGGAGGTGGAGGGGGAGGCGGTAGTGGCGGTGGAGGCGGAGGAGGGGGTGGGGGTGGGGGTGGTGGCAGAGGTGGGGGCTTCGGTGGCAGCGGTGGAGGTGGAGGCGGCGCTGGCGGTGGCGGTTGGGGTGGAGGAGGCGGAGGCGGCGGCAGCGGAGGTGGAGCTGGTAGAGGCGGAGCTGTGCAGCGGGGACCCCAGCACCAGTCACGCTCTCGTGAGACCCCGTCGCCCCAGCAGCTTCGTGAGTGGTACGCAGGGCGCCAGGGGTCTGGGGGTGCTGGTCCCTGTGCCTACGTCCTGCGCACAGGCGACCGCACTGGAGAGAAGTGTGGTGGCCAGCACGCCACCCAGCGCTGCTTCGGTCGCCTGACAGACGCCTGGCGTACCCAGTTCCCTGACGCCACTGAGATCCCTC